GTGTGTGAAAGTTACAGTATAGTGTGTGAAAGTCACAGTATAGTGTGTGAAAGTCACAGTATAGTGTGTGTGAAAGTTACAGTATAGTGTGTGAAAGTTACAGTATAGTGTGTGAAAGTCACAGTATAGTGTGTGTGAAAGTCACAGTATGGTGTGTGAAAGTCACAGTATAGTGTGTGAAAGTCACAGTATAGTGTGTGTGAAAGTTACAGTATGGTGTGTGAAAGTCACAGTATGGTGTGTGAAAGTCACAGTATGGTGTGTGAAAGTCACAGTATGGTGTGTGTGAAAGTTACAGTATGGTGTGTGTGAAAGTCACAGTATAGTGTGTGTGAAAGTTACAGTATAGTGTGTGTGAAAGTCACAGTATGGTGTGTGAAAGTCACAGTATGGTGTGTGAAAGTCACAGTATGGTGTGTGTGAAAGTTACAGTATGGTGTGTGTGAAAGTTACAGTATGGTGTGTGTGAAAGTTACAGTATAGTGTGTGAAAGTTACAGTATGGTGTGTGAAAGTTACAGTATGGTGTGTGTGAAAGTTACAGTATGGTGTGTGTGAAAGTTACAGTATGGTGTGTGTGAAAGTTACAGTATAGTGTGTGAAAGTCACAGTATGGTGTGTGTGAAAGTCACAGTATAGTGTGTGAAAGTTACAGTATAGTGTGTGAAAGTCACAGTATAGTGTGTGAAAGTCACAGTATAGTGTGTGTGAAAGTTACAGTATAGTGTGTGAAAGTCACAGTATGGTGTGTGAAAGTTACAGTATAGTGTGTGAAAGTTACAGTATAGTGTGTGAAAGTCACAGTATGGTGTGTGAAAGTTACAGTATAGTGTGTGAAAGTCACAGTATGGTGTGTGAAAGTCACAGTCTTTGTTTTGTTGTGATTCTAAGTGTTGGTAAAAATGCAGAGACGTGATTGGATACTCACGAGGCGGTGAGGTCGTTCGGCCCGATGTCGAGCGTGCAGGTTCCGTTCTCGGTGCAGTGACGTCCCACCAGACTATGAGCGTGAACACGAGGAGGATCCGTGTGGGATACCAGCTGGACCTCCACCCGGGCGTGTCCCACGTAGTTATTGATCTGAGACAGAGACACCGAACATTACTGTGCTGCAGCAGAAGTAAAAACTATATGTAAACTATGAGGTATGTTTTACTTCTTCATGTAAACTATGAGGTATGTTTTACTTCTTCATGTAAACTATGAGGTATGTTTTACTTCATGTAAACTATGAGGTATGTTTTACTTCATGTAAACTATGAGGTATGTTTTACTTCTTCATGTAAACTATGAGGTATGTTTTACTTCCTCATGTAAACTATGAGGTATGTTTTACTTCTTACGGTAAACTATGAGGTATGTTTTACTTCAGGTAAACTATGAGGTATGTTTTACTTCTTCATGTAAACTATGAGGTATGTTTTACTTCATGTAAACTATGAGGTATGTTTTACTTCATGTATACTATGAGGTATGTTTTACTTCATGTATACTATGAGGTATGTTTTACTTCTTCATATAAACTATGAGGTATGTTTTACTTCTTCATGTAAACTATGAGGTATGTTTTACTTCTTCATGTAAACTGAGGTATGTTTTACTTCATGTAAACTATGAGGTATGTTTTACTACTTCATGTAAACTA